GTGGAACTAGAATAGAAACGCACTGCTCTGAAACCGACGTGAGTAAATCTTTGCTTCTCCTATTTTATTCAAATAAAGTTGTGTGTGTGTCACATCCAGGGGCCAAATAGATCCGTCTGATCATACAAATGTTACATTGTCCACACTCAAAATATCTTAAACCAGTGTTTATATCCTTGAATAACTCGTGCACTGTTCAAATACTTTCACTGTATCCTCTTTATCATTACACTCGTGTAACTGTTCTAGAAGACCCTTTTTTAGCGTTTACAAAATCCTAGCCAGAAGGAATTTCACATGTTTTCATCTCTTGGTCTGCGTATACGCGTGTGAGGACAAAATTGCCGTAAATAAGCTGGGACATTTTTCCTCGTTTAAGTTATACTATTTCATATATTCTTTGTGTAGAGTTCACTGAATTCGAATCCCATTTAGTGTTACTTGTACGTAAATAAGGTCACTATTCGAATTCAGTATATCAAGAGTGAACTGTAATTGTCATTTCTGCCAGGTGACGATCACTAGCATTTTTCTAAATCATTTCCGTTTCCGCCGATGATACAGATGATTTCCAATCAAGAAATTGTTCTGGCGCTTTTCTACTTCTAGATGTACAATGCTCTTAAACATGCAAAATTATTTGACAAAATAATTGTGAATGTTTAGGAACATTATAACTGTCCGGAAATTTACTCATTTCTATAATTTTCTTTAAATAGAAACGCTGTTAAATATAAATAGCGAAAGTGTAAGATCGCATTATAAAGAACCATTAGGAGTGTCGTCGCAGTAGATGGACGAGCTGGCGAGCAGCGCGCTCTTGGCCACCCCTTGGTCCGCAGGGGCCGGGCGGCGCGGCTCGGCGCGCACGAGGGCCCTGCAATAGAGCTAATGGAACCGTTGAGATGCACCCTTGCCAGGTAGAAGATAACGCGCTTGCAGTGGAAAAGGCACAACCGGACTAAATCAACCAATATAGTTCATGCGGCAAATCGCCAACTTACGTAGCACAGACTGCTGTGGGGACATACGCCCCCTGAGACAAAGAAGGTTGTACGTTCATATTACTCGTTTTCGAATTGCGATAGTGGGTGGAATTCAAGGAGAAACCGCCGATGTTCTCATCCGTGTAATCGATCATTAAACAATTGGAAATTAATCCGGAGTTGCGTAATATAGTAAACCATATAAAATACTGGAAGATCTATCAATGAAGCAATTTAATTTCCAAAGTATTTTTTGAAAATAAGCTTTGTAATCGTCCCTAAACGAAACTACACTCTTAAATTGAATTCCCATCATACACACCTTTTGCGGTTATTCTCAGCGTCCAGTGATAGAGAGTTTGACTGAGCGACCTCAGTGGGATCCTCAGGCTGAGCCACCGCGCGAAGCCTCTTTCTCCGATGCGCCTCGCATACGCAGTGACAGGCGGAGTTCGCACGCAACAACGCTGCACTCCACGACCGATGAGTTACACGAAAAGACGGTCAGTGCTCTTCAGCAGCTAAGCCACGCGCGCGCGTGCTGTCGCTGCTAAGAAGATATCGGTTGCAACCCCCACCCCAACACGCGCTAGGCATTACAGTCGCCCGTAAGTAATTTGCTTGTTTCTCTTGTGCTGTTTCTTCCACGAAATGTAAAGTGAGCCTGCCCGTGGAAAAGCCAGGACGCGAATGTTTTTAGACGCAGCCATTCCGCTTGGCTGTTGCAGGGGGCTCGCTCCACAGCGCGTCCCCTTGTCTCCCGTGTGCGGTGGGGTAGTGCAGGGCGAGGGAGTAGGCAGGGCGACGTACGGAGTACACACGGTTTGACACGAACACCAGGTTCTGCCTCTCCTCCGACTCTTATTAATTCATTAATGAATATTTTTTATCTATAATTAATGAATCAATGTGAGCATAGGCATGTACAGTTTCAAACAGGAGGGGACCAATTATGTTTTTGGACACCTTTTTCCATGGTACGTTTTTATTTACAAATCACGTATTTCACTACTAAATGAATAAATCATGCTACAGGGAAATTTGAGTTGTAACTTTAATGATACATTTAATAAATGTGAATGATCTTACTTTGAACTATTGACAAGGTTCCCGTCTGGAATGTTCAGCCGTTTCCCCCTAATGTATAACAGTTTATCTAATTGTCAGGTTAAAATTGGGAAAATCAGTGAAAGTTCATATTTAAGAAAATAATATGTTTAATTTCTATGCGTGCTCATTCAAAATTCTCTGTGGACACGATGGTTAATTCGTTACTAACACAAGATATCGAAAAAAGAAATTATCTTGGAGCTTTACTTTTATGTTTGAGAAATATGCAAACGTGGAAGCATTACAATCAACTAGCTCTTTAGTCCGTGACGTATTTCATTGCCCATTGATAAGGTCTTGTCTTGCATATGTAATATAATCACATATGTGTGACGGATTTACTACGAAAATTCTTAAATCTAAGTAGCGGCTTATTCGTATTTAATAAAATACCGTAAATATACTTATCGTTATCTGCACTATGTAATTCAAGGTTGTTTCTCCATATTATACAACTCTCATATATGACACGAAAGCTTTACTCTGCAGCATTCTGCGGGGCTCTAATTCAGTTATATGAACGAAAATGTAATCCAGTGCTAAATGGCAATCTGATAAGCGGTAACGCAGGTGCTATGTGGTAACGCATAACAAAGAATGAATCTGCGTAACTCTATAATACTAATTCTAATGGGTATATCTTTAAAGTCACCTTTATAGAAAACTATGTGTCTTAATACGATTGCTGCAAAGTTTGATTCAGTGCAAAGAATTCTATGGAAGTGAGGAAATACGGGTTTCAAAGGCTGATAAACAACATCTCAAACCTTGTTTAATATTTGAATATTATTCTAATAGCTCATTTCTCGCGTACGATTCATGCGAACTGTATCATGTTATACAGCAAAGGTGAATTCTTCAAATCCATTCATTTTAAATATTAATTGGATATGCATGCATGTGTGTATTTAACTCGAATACTAATGTATGCGAAGACAGTGCATGTGTATAATTGCAGCGACGCATTGTATGGCATTGTTGTGTATGGCGATTTTGTGACATTGTTGAAAGCATTTTCGATTTTTATATTGACTGCGGTGTCCTCGTATGCTATTGAAGTTTTATAAATTTGTTTAATTCATCTTATTGTATTTATCCATTTTTTCAAAATGCGTGTGTAATAACGAACGGTTGAGAGACTGCAACTTAACTTCGTAGACCGGGAGATCCTCGAATGGTTTCGAATCCTGGCGGAGGTGCCACGTGCTAGCCGCATCGAATCGTTCTACTGACGAGATGAGAATTCCAAATTTCTGCTGACAGAACATGGTACCACTAGTATAGGTTTTCTCGTATTATTTGATACGATTATACAAAATGGTAATAATGATATTGCACTTCTATTTGTAGTTCGGCCAACGTGCTCAAACACCGCTTCGTTAAATTGCTTAAAAAGCACAGTATATCATGCCTATTATCTCGTATTTTCTAAAACTCACTTTATAAGAGAAGAATATCTTCATATTGCAAAGTTTAATGTCATTTTTTGTGAAAAACGCTTAGTTTGTACACTGAAGTTTATTGATGATTTCTCTCCTTCTGTAGCAGACGGACGGTTGTGCTTATCGTGAGTCGAAGCCTTCAAGATAAAAGAAAGACGAGAATTTAAAACTGAGTCGTGGTGTGCGGTGATTGCGTGTACCATGTGATTTGTGGCAACCAGTGACGTCTTTACGAGAGCCATCAATGAATGTAGACATTTGGCTGTGAGGCATGTCGGAACGGCTGTGAGGCATGTCGGAACACTCTTACAACAACATGTTATACAGCTTCTTAATCAAAGAACAATCTGGTTAACTGATATTTTTAATTCAAGATTTGAAGTGCATTTTTATTACATTTCAGCTATCTGCATTGATTGCAAGCGAACATTCTCCAGCTAGCGGAATGAGAAAAATAATTTGTAGTGTCAAATTCAGCACAAGTTAGCCAACAACTGTTAGATGAATGCGAATAATTTCTATATGATACTCACCGATCACGCCCCCTCCTAAATGATTTGGTAGAAGTGGGTGTCAAAATACTCGCTGTGAACAGGATTCGACAGAATCCTGGTAATCCGAAGGCCAAGAAAAGAATACTTCTTGAAAGCTCGAAGATAATTTAAAAAAATTAAAATTAGTATTTAAAAATAGAAAACTAATAACGAAACGGTATTTAAAAGAACAATTTATGTTCAATATAATCTATTAGAAAAACGTAAAAAAAACTAATAATTAGATTGGTGTTTAAATAATACGAGTACATGCATAAATACATTATGTACATTATGACGTGAAGTTGCATACGTCATATCACAGTACATATAGCATAGTACAGTGTCTTGTAATTAGGAACAAAATTCGGCGATCTTTTGATGTACGGAAGTACGTAAATATATTTGAGCACGTGATATTTGGTCATTGCCTAGGCGCTGTAGCTACAGACGTACCGTCACTGCTTTAAGTACTACTTAAGTAAGCACCCCAAGTCTATTTTGAACATATTACCCACATTTTGCTGTATTTCCCGGATAATTAAATTTTTCCAGAATGGGAACCGACCTCAGCCCCAATTTAGTCCGCATCTCTGTGTTTTCACTGAATCGCGAAGGGTTTGCAAATCGCTGCTCGTTGGGGCAATCGCGCGCCTGTGCCTAGGCCGGTCCCTAGGAGCAGTTTTCGTTCCTCTGCCACAGGAGTATGGCGAGGGGACGATAGCCTTTCCCCCCTGGCGATGGCATTTTATAACATTTTTTCCTCATTTGTTTTGTTTCTACACAATAATTTTGTGCTATAAATTGTTCTCATTTAAAAAAAAACCCTCATCGATAGTGGATTAGTGGAACCTAACAGTGTGCTATGCTGCCCCTGGCGGGGCGGGGGAGCTGCGACCCGCCACTCACGAGCGCTGTGCGTGTTGCAGCGGGCGGCGCGGCCGGGCCGGCGACGGCGGGCGCGCCGCACGCGCTGCATGACGAGGACGCGGCGCCGCGGGCGCGCGCGGGCCAGGCCATCACGCGCCGCCGCGGCGCCATCAAGCACCAGAAGGTGCACGAGGTCAAGGGCCACAAGTTCGTCGCCAAGTTCTTCCGGCAGCCCACCTTCTGCGCCTTCTGCAAGGACTTCCTGTGGTAAGCAGCGCGGGACGAGGAGCGGACTCTTCCCTCTGGCTCTAAACTTGCACAACGGGAGAGACCGTGCTTTCTAGTGAAAGATTCGAACAATGATACTTTATTTATTTTATACTTAAATAATAAGCTGAAAATGTATTAATATTGACAATTGCAAGAGTAATGAGTCGTGAAGTGCATGCCTTTTTATTTTTCGTTTCAAATACGTTCAGGGGATAGAATATAGATTGATTATCACTTAGTCGAGTGTTTGACTACGATCAAATTTTTTCAATTTTTAAGTAGTCCTTGCTAGAACACAAAAAAGGGCCAGGAAATAAAAAAATTAAAGAAATTAAAAATAGGCCATTTTAGGCAAAAAATTATTAATAAAGAAATACATTAATAAATCATTGAGTTTGTCAAAACGAATTTAGTACCTGAGAAAGAACGATATTTTTAACTGAGCCCACTGCCGGTGCTTCGTGACAACCCTCTCCGAGGGCAGGCGGGAGGCGCTGGCAGTCGGGCTCAAGGGCGTGAGCGGCGCCACGCGAACGCACTCGTACTGGCGCTAGGGAGACACTCGCTGCTCTAAATACTATCAATCATACCCACTTATCTTGGACGTTCATGTTTTTTGTATACCTTTGTCTGAAACTGAAAGATTCGCCAAGTTCTTGGCCAAGTCACTTAATATTTCTTTGCCAAGAACAAAAGAGTTCTCGATTTTCCAAACTCCACTTGAACACACCTATTTTCCTGGACTTTTGTTTACATTTACCTGGTACCTCTCCACTTCGAACCCACAATAATAGATCCTTCTCAACATTTGGTCATGCAGGCACACAAATGTTCGGGTGCAAGGGGATTAATCCAGACGTAAATTTCACGAAGCTGGCGAAATTGTCTCGTTAAAAGCTTATAAAACATTGGTGAAAAATCACCTGCGTGCACTTGTAGATGCTTCAAAAATTGTAGGAATGGTTTTTAATTTGCTTTATGTTAGAATATTGAAAAGATATGCTGAAAATAGAGAAGTGGAGAAAGTGGGATCGGGGATTCATTGTCTCATCTTGGCTGTAAAGAGCTAAAATGAAGAATAAAGGTTAAAACTGAATTGAAAATAATATGTAGATTTTTAAAATTTTAATCGATATAATAATATTCAAGATTAATTAAATTCCACCGAAAACCAGAAAGAAACGCCGAACTGTTCCTGAATTCTTTAAATTGTGTAATAGCTGGCGTCTCATTTCCCCGCACTTGTTCACTGTGCTTCAACATGGACTTCCAGGAGAAATCCATCCCGAGGCATGGAGCGCTCCTGTTGGCCTAGTTGTAGTAGCATGTCAATGTCCAAGAATTAAATCCTGTCGATATTCGATGAGCCGCATCTGCACTTTGCAGCTACGAAACGTGGCTTAGATCCCTGGGAGAGGCAATTTGTCCGCCACTCGCGTGTGGAGTATGTGAGAGAGCTCCCTAATTGAATCTGTGTGTAGCATATTCTAGAATACGTGCTCATAAGAACAGTTTTCATACCTTCTTGGCAGAAAATATATGCCAAATTTTCTTATGAAATTTAAATTCAACTGCGCTAGAAAACTGTGATAAAACATAATCACAGTTTATTGCAGTAGTATCGAATTTTGCATTAATTGCATTTGCAAAAATAACTTACATGTTGAGATATAAATTAGAGCCTAGATTTTGTTTCGTAATTGCTTATGAGAGCAGCGAATTACTTGTCACTGTATTTTTGTGGTGCATTCGAGAATTCTAATAAAATCATTATTCCGATTACTTCAGTCAGGGAAGAATGGGGAGCCATAGATTTTATTAGGTAGTGTTCAGTTTAGTGTTCAGTTTGAAATATGGAAAAAGATCCGTTAGCATTTTTGAATGACCATAGTGAAAATAGTAAAAATCTTTCTCGCGGAGATTAAAAGTAATAGAAAATGTATTTATGCGAATAGTAAATATTTGAGCTTTCAGAACAATAGTCTTATCTTGTTCAGAATGTTTTAGACGGGTGTTTCGTTTTTAAGCAAGGAAAACAGTTTGTGCAACATTCGCGCCACCGCGCTCCTTGACCTTAATGGACGCTGTGGACCACATTCAACCGCGGGGCTGCAGAGTGACATGTGGCTTCACTGAGAACAACAGGAGGCCGGCGCTGAAGCAACGCAACATAACACTCACTGGCCGGTCTCGCCAAATTGCTCTCGTTAACAGAATATTTGCTTGTTTTTGATCTCTTCAGGAAACAATCACAAAGTTTATATTTTGAGCACAGATTAAAAAAACTCAATTAAAAAAATGGCATAATATTTTGTTCAACTTTGCAGGGGTCAAGTTTTTTTTAGTAACTGAAATACACGAAAAGTAAATAGCATGATGGGACATGGAAAGCAGAACAATCTTTCTAGATCGTCTCAAAATTGAATATGTTTGAAGAGAGAGTTGCAATGAAGGCATATCGGTGCTGTCGATGGATTTGTGTCGAAGAGGAGAACACAGAAGGTTGGAGGCGCAATGGCGTGGGCCAGGGCTCTGGCAAAGCGTCGCAAAAATGCGGAGCGCTCGCATTAAGCGGCGGAGCGCGTGGGCCGTCAAGCTCGGTGCTCATTTTTAGCGCGCATGATGGAGTGGCGGATGCTTTGTAGCAGCCGAGCGCCAGTCGGGCGCGGCGGAGCGAGTCAGGCGTGGGCGTGGCGGCACGCGGGGGGGGGGGAGTGCCCTTAGGCCTGGCCTCCGACGCTTCCCCCGCGCACCGTGCGCGCACCTGCTCTCCGCGCGGCCTCTTTCATTTACCTCGGCCGCGCTCGTCGCCATGGGAGGCCGCGAGGAAGCGCGGGATAAGCCAGCGGCGTAAAGCAAAGGGCGAAGCGCGCGGTCGCGAGCCGAGGGCTGTGTGGGGGGCGGGGCTCCGTCACGCGCGCAGGTGCGTCACCCGCCACGCGCGCGCTGCGTCGTTCGGCGCCGGTGCAGTGGGCCCGCTCACTCATTTCCAAGGAAGAAAGCAAACGGTTTTAAGACCCAAGAGGAAGTAAATGATCCATTTATTCCTTAAGTTTTTGAGAAAATAAGGACTTGCAAGTGAACAAATGAGGTACGCGAGATTTGTCTTCTAAGATACAAGCCGAATTTTCAGTAACAAATTGGCGATCTATATTTTGTACATTTTTAAACAAAGATTAATTTAGCAATCTCCTTAAACTCGCAAAATTCTTTTTTTTCTTTTAAATTCTATCTTTTTACTATTAAAAAGTAGCATTCCTCGCACAAAAACATATTTTTGGTGGAATGCACACGCACATTCGGTTTCCTCTAATAACGATCGCTTTCTTAGTGTTCGCAGCTGTCAACATTCTAATTTCGTTCATGTACCTTAGAAATAGATATTTTGCGCAGCACTATGCACCTACTGCTGGCCGCGTTACATCTGAGCGCTGCTGTCAGAGCCCACGTCGTGAGAGGTGTTTGCTGCTTGGCGAATGGTGGCCTTTGCCTTGCTCCGCAGCGAGCGCGCGAGCCCACTGCGTCGCGCCTCCTCCTCCTCCTCCGCTATGTTTAGCGGGCGGGGCGCGTGATCGCGGCGGGGCGGGGCGGGGCGACCTTGCCGCGTCGCTCACCAGCCCCGTCACGCCCCTAATGCTCCGTGGCACTCTCTCTTGTCTGTTGCAGGGGCTTCGGCAAGCAAGGTTACCAGTGCCAATGTAAGTATAAGCGCCACCCTTCCCCCAGCCCTCTCCCGCCCCGCTCCCGTCCCAGCGCACCAACGCGCGACCTATGTTTAGGGCCACTGCGGGGCCCGAAATACGTGCCGGTGTTGTACTTGCGAAGACGCGACTAGTCAATCGCTGGCGATGACGGGGGCGGGGCCGTTAGGGCTGTCTGGAACGAGTTTCAATGCGAGTGGCAAGGGCAGGTGCGTCATGAGGGTAGCGTGCAGGCCAGCGAAAGGAGTGCGGACCCTCCCGGCTCCTTTGTAAAATTGAATAGCAAACCCAATAGTCTAAGCACCTTAAATAATAAAAAAGGGCCCTCTTATACCTCAGCCTTGCGGGCCACAAACGTTACGCCGCTGGCGCAGACGCTGTACGGTCTGGGATAGCAAACTCATTGCAGCACTGTCTTGGTATTAGAAAGTATTTTTTAAAAAAAATATGGACATATACACCTTTTGTACTGTTATTAAAGTTGTAGTTAAAATTGTTATTTTTGTAATACCTATTTTACGAGTTAAAGTAATAACATATATTCATCAGATTACAAATATTAAATTAAAGGTACATTCGTAAAAGTGACTATTATATAACGGTAATATCTTCACCTTGCCGTATTTTGTCGTTCTTAATTTCGGAAAAGTGATTATTCAACAGTATTCCAATGCTTGCATTTTTGGTAATACGTCAATGTAAAAATTGCATACTTTGATGATGCGGAGCATAATACTCTGATTAAAAATATTATGTTTTTGTGAGGATGAAAAGTAGTCCCGAAATAAATTTTGGCAAAACTATCAGAGAAGTATGAAATAATGACATGAACATTCCGTAAGACCGACATCAATTTCGCCGTGAAGAGTAAATTAGCTTCAGCTGGTTTTGGCAAAGTAAATTTTTCAAGTTGCGAGCCCCTTTTTATCCCGCTGTTTTCTTAGTAGCAGCGTTTCTGGTTAATTAAACTGCGTGGTTTCCCGCCCTGGTCTGGTATCCACGCGTCTTCTATCCGCCTCATTGCATCCGCGCTGCTGGTGCAAGTCGATGGAAATTAAAGCCACCGCTTCTCTCTCAGCTTCATTTACCTCTGATGCCCGTCTTTTCATGTGCGCGGATACTGGTCCCTGCGCCTCTTGCACTGCTAGCGATGTTCGTCTCTAACCCATCTGCCATTCCTTTTTTCGTTTTACCGGTATTTTATTTGATTCACAGAACAATGAATTTGGATATACTTTTTTCCTTCTCGGGGCTTTTTCCAGCTTTCAAGGGATGTCGATTTCGTCTATGCACGCCGGATACCCAATATGTCCGTCATGAGGAAGTATCTTAACCTTTACACTAGACGTAACCTTCACACTTTGGATATCAGTGACCCACAAAACAGGGATTACGGCTACACCAAGAGTTAGAGGATTTGTTTTCTAAATTTAGAAACTGGACTTATCCACTTTTTCGTTACCAGGGCGCTTAAATGATGCACAATAGGCATGACGAAGCACGTTGGGCGAGTGCAATAACGCAGTAGAGGTGGATGAAGCAAGTATGTGAACGTGTTAATCGTTTTTTTCGCTCCTCTCCCAACTTCCCCGGTTCCAACTGCCCGCCCCGTCGCCCGCCCCGCCTAGCGTCTTGCCCCGCCTGTTGCAGCCTGCCAGACTGCCGTGCACAAGAAATGCCACGACAAATTCCTCGGGAAGTGCCCGGGCTCCGGCCTCGACTCAGAAAGCACCATTGTAAGTATGTTTTGGTATTGCATTTCTCTTGAAAACAAACGTCTTTAGGCGGAGGAAGGGTTCAACAAATTTCTTCTGTATGAAATGGAACCATCATTATCAAATACAGGCTTCAAAATTTATTTAAAAGTTACAACTGATTGATAAGTGGAATTCAGTATTATCATGAGAGTGTGTTAACTTACTGTCTGAGAATTCTCCAATTAGAAATTCAGACAAATGCAAAGATAGTAAGTGCAGAAGAAACTGGGTAAAAATATTTTGCTACAATGTCTACGCATGCTTTAAAAATATTTTGCGGTTGGTTATAAATGACTGTTATGGTCACAAATATTTTGTTACACACATTAGAAAAACATTACTTTACAACATAACCGTCACTTAAATTGAGGCTTTATATTGTTACACAAAATTTGAAGTTCCTTAAAAAAATAATCTCCTGCCAGTGAATGTAGTGACCCTTATTTTTATTTTATTTTAATTTTATTTACGTTAAAAGCTGTGAGTGTTGTGCTACGGGGAGAAGTTATTTTGAAGTAACATTTATGTCCAGAAGCAAAACACGGGGCCATCTCAGCATTTTCTCAAGGATCAGGGAAACTGATCGAAATGGAGGTCATTGACCCAGAAGCTGAAGAACAATACTTGTTACAGGTTCTTGAGAATTATACAGTTCAATTGTTAGATAATACACTAAATGTCTTTGTTAAAATTAGTATTACATTCCTTTTGCATACTCTATATAATCTCTACGTCGACTGTTGTAGTTATATACATCAACGCTTGCTGAAAATATATTCCCGCCCTTCAGTAGGTCATTTTTGACAGAAACCACTGAATATTATATCAAGAGACAAGGTAAGGTTAAGATTAATAAAGATTTATAACAAAAGGCTTACAAGAATCATGTAAGTGGAATTTGGTTATTATTGGTACAATTCTGTTTTGTAATCCAAAAGTCTGGGAACTCTAAGTTGCTTTTACAGAATATTATGCCATATTTCAAGCGGGGATGAACATTCGTGGGATATTCACAACAGCAGTGTGGAGGCAGACTGGACGTGAAAGAATTCCGAAAGCGTAGCATAAAGAACATAAAACTTTTCATCGTCTACATTAAGCGGTGGGATGAAAGCTAGTGCCGTCCGACAGCAGCTGTGGTAATTGCGGTTTGGCGTCTAATGTGGGCTATTGGGAGGACGATTGTAACGTTCCCCCGCAACTTCTCCCAAAGTTCTTGGGTGTGTGCATCGGTGTGCGGACGGGTCTCAATATTCGAATGTTCCCAGGGGCTCCCGAGAGTTCTGCCCTACCCGAAACCGTGTTAGTGGCGCTCTTTTCACTTGACATCATTGGTGGCGGGGGTCATCTACTGAACGCATTTCCTGAACCAGCTTCCTCCTTCCTCTTCGCATTGGCTATTGAACCACTGTGCCCATCGTCACAGGATGAGTGTTGCTCTTGCGGAATAGTTATTTCAAACAATTCATTTTCGTGACACCATTGCTCACAAATGTGTCTCACAAGACTTTTGTATTTATAGTCTGTGCCTTGTATTTGATGGTATGTTTCACACTTGTTCGTAATACCATTTATAAATTATCACATCTTTATCATTAATTATTCTAAATACACAGTTGTGCTTGGATTACAAAAACATGTGTCAGCGGGAAAAGTGTAAGAAAATGGTAGACCTAATACTCTATAGGGCTAACAATATTTATATTTCTGAAATGCTCGCGTAGTTCTATTGTTCCCATGTGCGATCATAAACCAAGAAGAGTAGGGATGAATCGGTTACGTAAAATCGGTTAATCTAGTTAAGGAAGACGAGAAACTTCTCTTTTCTCCTCGTACGTTTTTTCTAGCACAGGTACACCTTGTTAAGGTGAATTAGAGGATAGAATTCTATCTACGTTTGCTTTTTCTGGCTTTTACCACCCACTTCGAGGGCCCTATTTACTGGTGCATCGGGTTTGCAGGAGGTCTTTCAGTTTTTCTCGCAAATGAGCGTGTCAGATGTCAAATATAGCGCGTATTTACCCCAATCTTTAATGTAAATTAAGCCAGTAAATATAATTCTAATTTGGAAAAGAGGGAGGGTGTATCTCAGAATTTTCAAACTTTTAAAAATTATTATGAACATAACTACAAAAAACAAATATCTTGGAAGTGCTTCATTTCTTTTTCTTTAAAGATGTACCCCTGAAGAATAACTTTTCACCGCATTTTATTATGTATAATATAAAAAGAAATGTGTTTAAAAATATGAAAGGAAATTAGTATTTAACTATACTTTGTAGACATACGGAATTTTACAAAATTATTTTGAAAGTCGTAATTTATTTTGATTTGCATATACTATATGAACTATCATTCATTTCTAGATGGACTATAATGGACGCGAGTCTTCTTTTGAGATGGAAAGGGGCAACAAATAATATTTGTAGCTTGAAAAGCAATAGATTTTCTTTGTTTTCTGAGGTGCCACTGTTCACTGGATGGGTTTAATCTGGCTCACCTCCAGTGTAAACGGCTGAGCGACCTTCAAGGGCGAAGAACGCGCAGGCGCTGTCCCTTTTCTGCGGAGGAGCCACCGATGTGTGTCAAGGGCGGTCGACGCGTCATTCCTTCCGGAAATACTTAAACTTTTCTTACATTAACTCTGGACAGTCGCCTGACGAAGCAATCTCATTTTTCTAAACGATACCCTCCTTCAGAGTAGTTTAATAGAATGTAAGGGAGAATGGAAAAACCTTTTCCATTTCTCTCTATAGAACTGTCCAAGTTTTTATGTAGTAGGTTTAATTTCAAATCAGAAACGCGGAGTAAGTGTTTGGGATAAACTACTACTCGTATTCTGTATTGCTCTGTTGGTGCGTGCGAATGCATTTCTGAACTCGAGGATGGCGCATTCTGTGCCGAAGAGCCGGGCGCGGGGCGCGGGGCGCGGGGCGCGGGGGAGGCGGCCCCGATGCAAGTGGGGCGCCGCCGCAGGTAAAGATAGCGCAGCGCCCCGCCTTGGGCAGGTGCCCCCGCGACAGCCGCCCGACACGACCTGCCCTGGCGTGGCATCACCAGCGCCATACGCCAACACATTTAACCTCGCTCTCACTGACTTTCACATTCTCAATTTCAATGAAAATGATATATCCATTGTTATTCTGTTTTTATCGTATTTTGATTACATTTTTGAACTCTCAATTCTATATTACATTACTTTGAAACTTCTCTAATGGTTTTTGAGATATGCTATTCAAATTCAGGAAAATACCTCGAGGAGCCAAAGAAACTGGTGCACCTGCCTGATATCGTGCAGGGACCCCGCGAGCACGCAGACGTGCCCCAACCCGACGTGACATGGACTCGACCAATGTTTGAAGTATTACTGGAAGAATCTGCTGGGCTGTCCATGAACTCGTAATAGTACGAGGGGGTGGAGATCTCTTCTGAAAAGCACGTTGCAAGATATTCCAGACGTGTTCAATCATGTTCATGACTGGGGATTTTGGTGGTCAGTGAAAGTGTTTATATTCAGAAGAGATTCCTGGAGCCACTCTGTAGGGCTGTCGCACTGTCCTGCTGGAATTACCCGAGCCCGTCGAGATGCACAATGGACATTAATGGTTGACATGTAGGGTCCATGGATCCATGAGGTTGTCGCCATACTCAGCATCCATCCGCCCGAAACAATGTGAGAGGAGCCTCTTCAGACCAGGCAACGTGTTTCAATCATCAACAGTCCGGTGCCGGTATTGTCGGGCTCAGGCGAGGCATACAACTTTGAGTCGTGCAGTCTTCAAGGGTATACGAGTAAACCTTCGGCTTGGAAACCCCATATCGATAATGTCTCGTTGAATGGTTTGCACGCTGACTTTCGTTGATGACCCAGCACTGAAATCTGCAGCAATTTGCGTAAAGGTTGCACTTCTGTTACGTATAATGGTTCTCCTCAGTCCTCGACGGTCCCGTTCTCGCACGATCTTTTTACCACGCAGCGATGCCGGAGGTTTGATGCTTTACTGGATTCCCGATATTCACGGTACACTTGTGAAATGGTCGTATGGGAAAATCCAAATTTTCATCGCGACGTCGGAGATGCTGCGTCCCAAATCTCTTGCACCTACTATAGCACCACGTTCAAACTCACTTAAATCGTGATAACCAGCATTTGTAGCAGCAGTAATCGATGTAACAACTGTGCCAAGCCCGGTTGTCTTATAATATTTGCTGACAGGAGCACCATTTCGGATTGGTTCCACATCTCTTTATTTTAATACACATGACTGCACCAGTTTTTTGGCTCTTCAGTGTATAGTGAGGAAGAAATGAAGCACAATTGTGTTTCTGTATGCCTGCACTCAATCATTAATTTTTAAAAAGTTTTTAAAAGTTTAAGAAAAAATTGGAAAAACGTATTAGTAAAATAGACAAAAAATGACCAATCCATGTGGATCGACGTAAAATGCGACAAATGGCCACATGAAGAGAAAGAAATTAGATTAGATTTAAAAAGTAGAACGTAGATTTATGTAATAAGTTAGAATAAGTAATGTTTTCGTAAAGTAACTGGGCGTGCCTAAAAGTCATAAAATTAAAGATGGAGTTTGCACCGCTACCTCATTCATTTTCCTCTCAATAGCTCAGCAATTAATCTCATACAATTACAAGGATTGTGGATTGTTCTACTATAATAGATAAATAATAGGTATTCAAGTCTTCATATAATTTTCAAATAAAGAAAAAGCTTTACATTGAAACTGTTCGAAAGTTCAAATTCTCAATTGATGAACATTCAAGCATGAATAAATGTTTCGTAATGTTAGAACTCTTATGAAATATAACAGCATGTTCACATTATGTAATGACACTTTAAAAAATGTTACAGAATGAGCCCGAAATAGATTTCAAAAAGAGAATACAATTTTCAAAACTTGCGTGTATTAAATACCTGCCATGCAATCCAAATCATCGAGTAAAATACAATACCATGACACCTAACCGAGCTTGAATTAATTATTGAATGATGTTGAATTAATCCATTAAAGTAATTAATCTTGTAATGTAAATAATAACCATGAATCATATAGGTGCAGAATTAACAAAGATCCGTTTGAGGGCCGTGAAATAGAATTAGTTACATCGTAAGTGAACTAAACGAACTGCAATGTACAAATGCTACGAGCATGACGAGTTCGTGTATCTTCAGCCACCGCCGAGGCAGACGGACTCGCTAGTGACATTTGCCGGAAGTGGCGATTTTCGCACCGTTTTTTAAGAAATGAGCGTGTCAACAGAAATTTAATAAATAAAGGAATGTCAATTAGCAGTCTGTTGCAAACTAAGTAATGTAATTAAAACTAGGACTCCAGAATGGGACAGTCTTTCTCGTACTTGTTAATTGTCTCATTTCTTTGGTCTCATCTTGCCGCGTCCTCTTTCCAGCTGGCCAATCTATTGCCGTCCAAAGTAATTTTTTTAATGTTCTCAATTTTTCGGTATTTCAATAGAATAACCAAAACATTTTAAGAATATTAAAGAAAAGTAAAACCTTGTCACATTGAAATTTTTGTTGAAAAAATGTCAGTTGTTTCGAAGAAAATGTTTAAACGTTAGTGCAAATGCAAAATTTGAAGCTTTTTTCATAGAACATTTTTGAGTTTTCGAAAATCTTCATTGGAAGTCTTTTGAAACTAAAAAATTCTTTTACTAAAAATGCAATAATCTATACAATTCGCTGAAAAACATTACATTTGCGTATTTTTTGGGGGAAAAATACAACAAAATGTTTTTGGAGTCGTCTTAAACACTTGGGAACTTTCCGTCCCAAAAGGTCTGAAGAAATATTTGGAGCCTTTTTGAAAAAATGGTGTTTGTGCGTTTCTGAAAACGCAGAAATTTGAGATCATTTTCACCGACAACTTTTGAGTTTTCAAGAATAATTTGTAGACCTCATTCAGAGTACATGTACTCATAAATGCAATAATGAATACAAATCGCCGCTAATGTGAATGTTAACGTCGTGAGAGACAAGCAAAATAATTTTAATTGGTTTATATTTTGAAAAAACAACAACAAACGAATAGAACAAAATGGTTGCACTGTCATCTAGTACAGAAATTGAGCAGTAGCCCCAGCAAAATATTTGGACCTGTGTTCCAAAAGAAAAAAATCATAAGATTGACAACATAATATATATATATATATATATATATATAATATTGCACATTTTTGCCGAAAATTAATTCACATTTCTTCAAAAACTGTATGTGACCTTAATTAATGAACTAATTATGGACAACCAATTCCATTTCAAGGAAAAATATCGATCTTCAATTTTGTAGTTGAAGGAAGATACGCAAACAATTTCAAAATTTTGCATTTTTCGAAAATTCAAAGTTCACAGTGAAAATCTAAGCAATGCCAACTCTCTTTTCACTGTATCATTACTAGAATTTCCAAGAAAATAACCTGGAGACATTTTTCAGAATTGTTTGATAATTTCCCAGTTGCTTGATGTGAAGTACTCTCAAAAGTAAAAAAAAAGTTATTCAAAATTGCAGAGCTTCGATCGAGCCAGATCGACCTGTGAATATCGATTTTGGATCCTATCATTAATTTAGGCTCTTGCGTTGTTCAGAGACAGACGGACTGACAAAGGGACGGACGGATGTTTTTAAAAAAGAAAACAACACTTTACTTTTTCAGTATCAGGGCCCCCCGAAACATGTATATCCGCTGAAATCTCGAAAACGATTTTCCGCATTACATAACTTTTTCTTCACTACGTGTATTAATCCCACTATAATACATATGTTCCCAATATAAAGAAATAAATTATATAAATACGTATGTGTATGAGAAATAAAAATAGGTTTTAAATACATTTATATAATATACAGTGACTGTTCACATTCCGCTGAGGCCGTACTATTCAATCAGAGCTCTCGAAGCACTGAGTGGATTTGTGGAAGAGTGGAGGAGAAGTGGAGAAGTGCAGACCCTGGAAACATTCACTGCAGCAACAGGCGCCACTGTCGGGGGAATGCGCTCTCGGCCCCCGCCGGCAAAAACGCAGGCGCGGGCATTCCAGCAAGGAACACTGAAGTACGATCCAATGCTGCGCCTCCTGCGAAAACAGTGGGGGTTCTGGAAACTTAAATGAATACAAGCGGAACAATCTGCATGAAAACGAAACACGCGCTGGGAGATTTGTTCTATCCCTGGGTTACATTGTCAGATGCGAATATTGTAAGCAAGACCAAATAGTAACGTACAACGAAAATGGAATTAACAGTATAACACTGATTAATAAAACCTGATCAAACGCAGATATATGATGACTTGTTGACTTTTAAATTTTTATAATTGAATTTTTTCAGTGTTTTTTTACTCAATTGGTTATTTTCTGTGGAGAAATTTATAAATTAATAGTGCAAGAGAAATTGTGTGTCCTTTAATAGACACATTGACGTCGATACAGTTTTCTAATAACCCTACCTATGGTATAATAAATACTGCTATTTTTACTTTGGAAAAGTGAGGTTTTAATAAAATTGATTATAAGGCTTGCCATATAGGATAAGTGACAATTATTTTATGACAATAATGTGTTTATTATTTGTTATTTCATTCGTGTTAAACTCTGTGAACTGTGTAAATATTCCCTTAACCATGAATATTGAGAGGATACTGTCTCTTGTTGAATTGGTCCTGGAGTTTTTGTGTTATGTATTTGCCATCGTCTTCATAGAAACACCTTTTTATGCATTCTCTTGAGAAGAAGAAAAAATCCTATGTGTCTTGAAGAGGATGCCGATGGATGCTGTACGCGCTCGCTTTGCTTGCATGTGGCGCAGTACCTGCGGGAGCGGTTCAAGCTGGACGTGCCGCACCGCTTCAAGGTGCACAACTTCATGTCGCCCACCTTCTGCGACCACTGCGGGGCGCTGCTGTACGGGCTGTTCCGCCAGGGGCTCAAGTGCGAGGGTGAGTGCACACGTGGGCTCTCTCCAATTGGCCTCTGCGGGTCGCTCAGTGAAGAAAAGGGCCAGAATGACGTGAAATAAAGTTTCTGGCTGTCATTAAAATAGCCATGCATTTGCATATTTTTCAAATAAAATAAAATTAAACTAAAAAAAGGGTTTAAACAACATTGGTTCGTGCGAGACGCTCCAATTTGAGTAGCGAGAATTTCACTGATCCTCTGATATAAGTTCATTCGACATGCAGTTTCGGTTTGGCACTCCGTCTCTCCCTCCCGTTCCCAGCGGCCGGCGACACTCGCGCGTGTGCGGCTGCTCGGCAATACCCCGCGTGAAACTGGTTACGACCGAACGAGTTAGCATGCTTCACAGGCGCTAGTCCAACCCTTGTGAGCGTCCTAAACCCTATCCGTAGCCTGATTCCTTCCCAATTCTGGCCGCTGGGTAGTGACGCAGGGGCGCGTAGTAGGAGGCGCGTACGCGGAGATGCTACCTGGCGGTCCTCTTGACAACTGACTGCGACGAGACGTGGCAGTTATGACATTGGCATATAATAATGGAGGACTACTCCCGCGCTGTTGTTAATGGAGGACTACTCCGAAAGCGCACAGCGCTCGATGCTCTCCGGGGCTTGGAGACGCGTCGTGCCAACTGGAAACGCAACAAAGTAAAAAACCAACAACCGAACTGAAGGTCTTTAATGTTCTCTGCAATCTGTGTTATCCAAACAAATGTTACAATACTTAGATTTATGCTAGGGGACTTCTTACAAGCAACGTATGCTATGGCTCAGATGTAATTCTCGTGTGCGATTGACAATGAGATTCACTTGTGCATTTATACACTTTAGACCAAAATAATATTAAGGAAAAATTCAACTTTTTAGATGTTAGTAGGCAAGTAAAGCCGGCTGTCCCATGTTAGTTGATTTACTGCATGTAAAAGATCCTAAAGCCTAAATGAAGCCTCTGAGCTCAATTCAAATCGCCTGTTTCTTCGCCCAAGAAATACCTCCTTTCTCTGCTAGTTGGTGAAAGGAGAGCGAAGCGAAATTTGCGTGGTCAGGCGGAAGAGCAGACCTCTTCGCCTGTAAGAGTCTCGCCACGTAAAATAAGGCATCAATCCAATTCAATTCAAATGGGCAACTTGCTTCTCTTCTCAGTCGTACGCCAGCGTAAGTCGCTCGGGAGTGTGTTGGGGGGGGGGGAACTCGCAATCTCGCGGCGGACGCTCGAAGCATTTTAGCGCTTAAGCATAGAAGCCAACTGTAGCAAGGCGTTGAATTCAACATTAGGAAGTCACTTTTAAAATCAATACAAAACGTGCTTCGCTCAAAGGGCCACTTGGGAGATTATCATTACAATAGTTAGGGTTCTTTGATCAATACTTTACGCTGAGCATCTTGGCGCGCCCGGACGCTGCGCCACTGCTGCTTTGCCGCTCTCCGCAAATAGCGCTGTTTTAGTTGCTCTCACTGCGTCACTTCTCCGCATTTCGATTTTTTAAATTATAAACCGACACTTATTTCAAGTGCCACATATTTGTCAGAAGGTGTCGGCTTGAAGCCAACTTCTTGTGTGTTGAATTTCACAGAGATGCAGTCCAATTTATTCTCAAAAAATATATGATTTTGCCAAGAATTCGTGGTAATAAGTATGGTGAGATATTGCGTAAAGCTGAATATTAAGATGGCTGGGTTTGAGAGTAAATTTGTACACAATTTGCTATTGTTTTTCGGACATATTCTGAAATTCTCTTTCTTGAGGTTCAACCACAAATAAAAATCAATAATACACCAGCATTTCGTAAGATTTTGGATTATACGAGTATGATAAATGTTGATCTTATCTCTCTAAGCGTCCTCTCTAATTGCGCCAAAACGAGAGAGATACACCGGGGTTCGTCGATAGCAAATTATCCATATTCGAAAAAGTTCACCTCACAGTCTATACTACAACCACACTAGTCGAAACACTTTACTAAACTATAATAAATGAGTTGAAAGATCTTCCATGCCTTAAAAGTTAGGTAAGATTAGATACATGTACATCAAGGCTGTATTTCCCTCAAAGCACCGGTAATGAAATAATGCAAGAGCGTCCACAACCTACTTACTATACAATCACCAACGGTCACCCAAAAACGCACCTGCATATCTACACTTGTTTTTGCTTGCAAATAGGCCGACTTGGACCACGCGGGCATTCACCATGGTATCAGCATCTAGCAAGATTCGATGTTTATTACCTTCAGTTGAAATAATAACGTTATATATCTACAGTAGAAAAATAACATCTAGAGTCACTCAGAACTTAACTGGCTTGTTTTTTAACGATATTAATGTATTTATAAATTTAATAATCTAAAGTTTTGGAATAGCAAATATAGAATCGAAGTTTATTAGATATTTAGAATTAACTAAATCTTTTTGACTTAAGGAGGTTTAAAAATCTCTTTGGGGAAGCGGGATTTGATTCTGTTTGGTTCACTATACGATTGGCCTAAATTAAAAAGGGAAGAACAAGGTAAGATTCGGTAAGATTATTACAAACTTTTGAATTTTGTTTTTATAAATATTTTTTAATTGGCTCTAATTTAAATTATCTCTGTAACTGAAATAACCATGGACATTGGTAATTTTTGTCAATTAACACAAATTGGAGGAGATTGTTTTGATTCATGACATTCTGAATAATGGTGAAGTTCATTGCATCTAAAATATCTGGTAGTAACAAGTCAGTCAGCTTGTGAATGACCGAATCGACACATCTTTGGAAGGTTTCTTTTGAAACAAGGCTGAACGTTTATAGCACAGTAGATAAATCGATCAAGAGAGTAAATAGCTTTACGTCAAGACAGTCCGTTAGTTCTACTGCACATGTTTGTAGGGGTAGTTTTTCCTTGTTGTAAAGTCTTCACACTTAAATCACTGAAAATAATTTACGTTGAAGTTCATTTATTTCTTATTCACTAAACGTTTATGGAATTTCTTTTATCATGTTTGACGTTTTAACTGTTGGGTCTCTGAAATAATAAAACTTAATATTTTCACTTTCACTGAAGCTTCTAAACGTACCAAAGTCTTTATTTGTGGAGAACGTTATTTTTGTTTCGTTCCTTTCACATTTTGTAGTGAATTCGTCTTCAGCAATATTTTTAATGTCTCGAACAAGATGTGAATAGTTTCTGCCTATTACAAAATGGGTTGGAATTTTAATTTTCGATTCATTTTCTAAATTGTGTTTCAGCTCTCGTTGCGAATAAGACGGGACCTTATATCGTATTCAATGCACAAACTGCATTTGCGAAATGTGGATACTCTTGGTCGTTTAGTTTTGTAAATAATTAACGTTAAATCTTGGACTGTGGGCTTGTGCTCGTGTGCCATGGGCTGCGGCAAGCGAGCGAGCGGTTTCACCTCGCGTGACGGGGCTCGTTACTTCTCTGGAAATCTCGATTGCTAATTCTATCCGCGAACCTCCGGAAGGGAGCTAATTCTATCCGCGAACCTCCGTCGTCTGGCGAACAACTCATGCGGAGAGATTCCGTATTTTATTTCCAGCGGGTGCAGCATAACGACGTTTTCAGTTCTCTAGACATATCTTGCGAAAATGCAAAGAAAACCAGCAATTTGGTTTTTTGGGCACGTGGAGCGTGTTTTACAAACAAAAATAAATGAATATTTTTCACAATTGCAGAGCTTTGAGTGAGGACAGATCGCTAGGGTCTTATTCATTGTAAAAATCCTTCTTCTAGTTTAGGCACTAGTGTTGTCCACATACGATGAACGGACGTACGTTTTGAGAAAAGAAACAACACTTGTTTGGTATCCAAAAGGGGACCCAAAAGCGTGAATTTCTTATTCTGGTGGCATGTGTATGAACTTGTCTCTCTCTCTCTGTCTCTCTCTTCGTGGAGGGGGACCGCGCCCCGTGCGCGGGCGCCGACTGGAAGGGGGAGGGCGGAGGGCGGAGGGGGTGTTCGCGGCCCGCGCCCGCCCCGCCGTGCAGGAGGGCGGTGCGAGTGCTCCTTCTCACCCTCTCCTCCGCGCGCGCAGGCGCACAAGTACTCCTTTTAAGGCTTCCTGCCTTCTATTCTAGTCTAAAAAAGACAACTGTAGGTGAATGTGCAGGGGTTGCCTTCGTTTCAAACATACACGTCGCTTTTTCCATTATTTTCAGGAGTAAAGTCTAAGGAAAAGACTAATATATAAATGGTATTATGCCATCGACTCGCCAAAATCACTCCAAAATGTTAAAACGAATTTGTAATTAATAATATAGTATTGTCCTTTGCAGTGCAATTTTCTCTCTTCATCGCACACGATTCTTGTTACGTTTCGGTTTGTGGTGTTGCTCTACTGGGGGAGCGGGTTACGATATCTGTGGGGGCACCCTAACGGTGCAGACGTGATGCAGATGCTCTAAGTGGCTGTCCAAAGGGAAGTGATGTATTAGTTCGTAATGAAGATGCGAATGCTCGAATGCCCACACAATCAGAAGGATTTATAGAGTTGATGAAAGCCAACCGTCACGTTAGTTGTGAGAGTTATCTCCTGAGCAAACGCAATCCAGTGTACTTTAACGCAATTGGAAGGACTGTACTTGTAGGGCACCCGTAAAATCGTGATGCCCCTATAATTTGTATAACGAAAACATTATATAACTACTGTGGCGGCATCTTGTGGTAGGCAAGGGAGGCACTGCCTGTCCTGATGAACATGTACTAGTTTAATTCATTTCATAAAAATAAAAAAAATGATTTTTACAATTGCAATAGAGCTTGGGTATTGTTTATCTGGAAGAGTATAATGAACATTTCATATCGTGGCACGAGCCGTCTCTCCATTCGAAGCGCTTCCTCGCACTGGATCTCCCGACCGCTGGAGCGTCGTTTGAATCGCAGGGCGAAAGGGCGAGAGGGCGGGAGGGCGAGGGTGGGAGCCGGGGCCGCCAGGAGGCAGCGCCTGGCGACGTGTAAATATTTACGGCGCCGAACTGGCAG